TTATATATATATATATATATATATATATGGATATTCATTGGCTAAAGATTTACATTTAACAGTGTTATTAAAATAAATACCATTGCTATCATCTAACGTTCACATAACAGTTCATCAAAATGTAAAACCAGGGAAAAAAAAAAGTTAGCGTCTACAATTAAATATCCGATACTTAAACATTCACATACATTCACACTGGGAATATTGCATTAATTAAAGCTCCACCCTTGCTCATCCAAAGTTAATGACATTACCTAATAACAAACTAACTTACGAAGAAACAAATGTTGATGCTGACTGGTGCAATTTTGTAATCTGCCCTGATGAGCTGAAACCTGGACAAAGGTTATACTCAATGTGAACCCTAAAGCCTGGTGAGAGTGGTCAGTGAGCAGAGACAGCCAATGATATCAATCCCTCCAGCTCACGGAGCAGATCTTCAGCAGGTGCACACACAGCGGACTGGAACAGAATGATTGGATCCTGGATCTGATCCCATTATCTTTGTTATCATCTTTTACAAACCGACCTCTGTTTAAAGGGATAGTTCACCCAAAAATGAAAATTTGATGTTTGACTGCAACGGCTGGACTTAAAAATCATCATTTGTGTTCTACTGAAGAAACAAAGTCACCTACATCTTGGATGCCCTGGGGATAAGCAGATAAACATCAAATTTTCATTTTTGGGTGAACTATCCCTTTAATAGAAGGACACCTTATGACAAGTTGACCTGAATGTACACTTCAAAGTACACATCAATACTGCTGTTGAGTGGCTGTGATTACAACTCCTATACAAATATTAGAATAATTAATTGATGATGTCTAGTCAACTTCTGTAAACATTTAGTTTGAAACGATTTAACGCACAGACAAAGTAAGAAATATCATAAAACATAAATAAAAGGTACTTTATCTACTAGTTTTCGATAAAAAGGTTTTCCGACCTCTAAGATATATAAAATATATTAGCATCAATTTTGGGCGCGATCTCATCCAGAAACTCAGAGACGCAGCTACACTTGTTCCGTTCATCACCGTGGAAACGGCTCGTTTTAATAAATGGAACACGATTGTTTTTGATGAATGGAATCCGCTAAAGCTCTTTATTCCGCCTAGTCTGACCTTCTGAATGTGATGAAGATGATGATGGCGCTCTTTTTTGTCGGATGCGAAACGTCAAACGCAGCATCATCATCATCATCATCATGAGGGATGCCAAGACATGCTTTTCCATCACCTAGCCTCATATTGAATCATCATGTATTAAAACTCTATGTACACACTTTAATCTTCATTCAGACCCAGTAATGACGTGTAATATTCAGATTTGATGAAACTGCCCGTCGTTAGCAAGCTAGCGTTCCCTTTACCTCAGCCATCTGTAAACTTGTCGCAGTAAACAAGAAAAAAATTAAAAAACAATCCCCTCGTTAAGTATTACTGAGGTGTTAAGTTTATAGGAGTAGCTGGCTAGAAAATGATCTTACCGGCTTTTAGTCTCTTACCTTCCAGAGCCGGATTGTGTGTTTCAGTCTCTCTCGCTGCCAAGCGCAATGACCGACAGTTACCTCCGGGCCGGCGCGTGCTGTTACACCCGGAAATATTGCGTCATCTGACTCCATATTTTTCAGCCAATAAGGTCTAGACAATGAAGCGAAAGCGCATCATTGACTTCCTGTTACTGCTGGTGCACTTCAGGTCACGGCTATAATTGTTCTAATGTTAATATTATTAATAATACACTTTAAAAGACACATTTCTTGTTCTGTAGTTTCACAAACCAATAAGCAAATAATCGTAAAATCCTAATAATATTCTATCTAGACTTTAGGCAGTGAAGTAAGAGAAAGTATTGTTAGTGTTCAAGATAATATAATTCAGGATGTATTAACAAAATATTCTTGTTCTGTTGTTTGAAAAATATACATACTTATGTTGCATATGGAAAGCATCAGTAGTGTAAGTGACAGAAGGCTTACTGGAAATATGATGTTACAAAACAAAATTTGTGAAAAAAAAAACACCCAACACTGAGACAAATTCATCAAAACCGTTTGCTCCTTAAGATCAGTTTTTATTGGCTGCTATTTACATGGTGATATATAAAATGTTGCATCTTGTGTAGACAAAGTGTTAGGGTTATCTTTTAGGTTAGGGTATTGTTATATTATTTTTAACTAGCTGTGTGTATATATATATATATATATATATATATATATATATATATATATAAAAAAAACAATCTTTCATGACTGCAAAATGTTGCTATGTTGTAAATGCTGTGTTGTAGTTTAACCAATTGGAATGTTACCACAACATCAAGCTGTTCAGTCCATTTATTTTTTGCCTTCAACCATGATGATGTGATAACCAAACTTTGTTTTCACGGGAGGATCAGTGTATACAGGTTTGTCCATAGTGCTGATGGGTAGTGCAAACGCTGCATCCTGAAATGGTCCCACCATTGATCCTCTTGTCATCCAGCCAAGGTCACCCTGTATGCAAATCACAACTTTAAAACTATACAAGCTGTTGTTAAGGTTGTCTTGATACTTAAAACAAGCATAATTTGAATAACAACTTACTGAATGAATAGTACTGAAACATACTTTAATCAAAACTGTAAAATTAAAGGTATATACAGCTCTAAAAAAATGATAATACAGTACTGATAAACACTTCTTATAATTTATTAATTATTATTACAAACATATATTCTTTTATATAACTTATTTTAAACCAAAATGATACAGAAAGGCTGTACGTTAGTGTTATTGAAATTCCATAGAATAATATGGGCTCGGTATTCTATGCAAATTAGATTCTGAGGGATTTTCTAGCATGGAAAACGCATTGAATGCCATCTGCTGGTAAAAAACAAATAGTACCCATAGGAACTATAGGATTTTTTAAACTCCACATCATGCAGGTCACATTACTGCTACTAATCCACTGTTTTTATACATGAAAAATGTCTTACTCCTTGCCTGGCTTTGTCCTCTCTGTATTGTGCTGCCACCTCACTGAAGCGCATGCCAGACTTGAGCTTCTCCATTGCTTCCATACACTTACCATGCTTTTCACACAGAATATGCCGAACCTATCAGAAAATAGGCCAAAAAAAGGGAGTGATACATAATCAACAAAAATATTATTAATTTAAATGGTGGTTTGAAAGTGACAATGTGACTTCATATCATTAATTTAAAGGGGTCATATGATGTCGGCCAATCATAATGCACTGGATAGCTGGCCAATCACAGCACACCTCGCTTTTCAGACCAATGAGCTTTATAAAAATCGACGCGTTTCATAAAGGCGGGGCATAGAGGAGAAACAATAATGTACATTAAGTGGAAAATAATGTATTTTTTGAACCTTAAACCACATAAACACATTGCATTACACCAAATACACAACATAATGTTCTTTTTAGCAACGTCATATGACCCCTTTAAAGGTGCTAGAGACTTCGTTGAATAGTACAATCATTTGCATATTGTACTATATGAAAAATTACACAACAAGATGGTCAATTTAAAGCAAAAATAGAAAGTGCCAATACAGGCTGTTAAAATATAAAATGTGAAAATGTTAGTCTAATTTCATGTATCAATATGATGTATATTATATACACCTTCATAAATGAACATTTAAACATATCTAAACAGTTATGAACTACCTAAATAATTTAATATTCATATTATCACATGAACTTAGAATCAATGAAGTTGATGTTATTCAAAGAACTTTAAATTCCGTAACAGTATACCATATATAACAGTACATAACAGTAAGTAACAATATACCAGTGTTATTTTACAATCATTCTGTCACTACTATAATTTAATTAATATATATATATTCAGTTAAAATTCACAGTATTTGTGAGTAACATTTTTTTATGCAGATACAGAATACAGTATACAGATGTTTACCTTTACAGCTGTACCTCCTTTCTGAGCCTTCTCCTTCTTATCACTGTCTCCACTGCCTGAAGCAGCTGCCCCTGTCCAAATACAAATGTGTGTTAACATCTTACAACTATGCAACTAAGAGAATACCTATCCATTTGTATGCAGCTACACTTGATTTATTAAGCATTTTGAAATAACCATATTAAGCGAATCACACATTTGGCCACATTCCTCACGCATTTCACACTTTAACACATTTAGTTAAGATAAAACAGCCAGAAATGTTTCATTAATTGTGAAAAACGAGACAAAATCGACAGAAATACAGCTCTGAGTGTAACAATGTTTACAATCTGTTAGCCACAAACACTGCAAGCTAGCTAGCATATCAGCATAAGCATTAGTGTAACAGTCACATTATATGCTATAAACTTCGATATGGTGTCATTTGATAGATTTTGTTCATGCAGCATCATATATTTGTTGTTTACCTTTAGCACCTTTGCCACCCTTTCCTTTAGGTGGCATTTTCTATCTCCTCGTGTCGGATAATGTGTTTGTTTCCACTTAAACCTTAGCTAGCACACACGAGCTAGCAACTCAGATTCCCACGCGGTTAGACTGAAAATTACACAGCAGCTTCTTTCAGCCTACAGTTTTACGGTATACGTTATTTCAGTCTGTGTCGAGTGGTAAACGACACAGGCAAATGCAAAGAAATTATAGTATAACTGTTAATAACTGTCAATAACTTTGCGCATATATGAGTGGAAAGGACGCGCTTGAGTACACTGAAGAGACACGAACAGATTTTTCCCGGTATTTTCACTCCAGTGACAATCGATTTTTTTTATGGTGATGACCAATAGATGGGTTAATATTTTTATTTATGTATTTTTGCATTTTAAATAAAACATTATAATAGTAGGATTGTCAATGACATTCTGCGCAAATGTGCCCAGCAAGGATGCTCGTGAACAACCCAGCACCGCAGACCCTCATGATGACAGGATAAAATGTCTGGACACCGTCCCTCTTATGTAGCCTACTTTTGTGGAAATAAAATCATTCAAATGTTCAATGTTATCGGATTTACGCATTTATATTTTAAATTACGCACGCATCCCTCAAATTAAGCACGTAATTCGCCGTTAGGCAGCTATTGTTCGGAACGAATAAGATTCCCGTTTGTTGAGAAGCAGCTGTTGCCATAGTAACATAAAGACAACAAAGCCGCCGCCTTCTGCTCTTGACACGAATGGCAACGACGCATCATCTTAAAAACACATAAATTAGATTAGTTTTTGTCAATAAGACATGATGACTCACAGGTAATAAAGATTTTAAAGATGTTTGTTTTCCAAAAATTTGTGTCACTATTCAGTTTGCAAGTTGATTTACTGAAGGCTCATATAATAACTCTTTTCCTAAATATCTGTTGTTTTCTTTAGACAGACCATTTCTTATCCTGAAGATAAGTGGCCATCATCATATCCAGCTCTCAACGGGACAAATGAAATGTTCTTGCGACCAGCAAATGAATAAAGAAGATGTTTAGTGAATTGATAGTGTCATGGAGAAATATGACAAAGTCCTGACTCTTGGCAGAGGAGGAGCAGGTGTGGTGATGTTAATGAAACATGTCGATACAAAGAAATTATGTGCAGTCAAGAAAATACACGTGGACAGTTCCCGAAAAACAAAGAGCAAAGATGCTGTGTTGCAAGAGGCAGATATTCTCAGGAGCTTGAAGCATCCTCATATTATAACATGGATTGACACTTTCTTTGACACGACTAATGAGCATATTTACATTGTTATGGATTATTGTGATGGTGGGACACTGGACGACCATATTAAAGAGCAGAAGAGTGGGGAATACTTTGCAGAATGCACAATTATGGACTGGTTTGTGCAAGTAGTCATGGCCGTCAGTTATATCCACTCTGAAAAGATCCTTCACAGAGATATCAAGCCTTCCAACGTGCTGTTAACCAAGAGAGGTGTGATAAAGCTTGGAGATTTTGGAATATCAAAGATTATGAACCACACACTCGATATGGCCTCCACTTGTGTGGGAACCCCCAGCTATCTGAGTCCTGAACTCTGTCAGGATGTCCCATACAGCACCAAATCTGACATATGGGCGGTTGGCTGCCTGCTATATGAGCTTTGTGCCCTCAAACCAGCTTTTGAAGCTAAAAATCTCCTGAGTCTGTTTTACAAGATCATAAAAGGAGAGTACATCAAGATCCCCCAGAGATATTCAGAAGACATTCATACAATAATCGAGAAAATGCTGTCCTTGGTTCCTGAGAATAGACCGAGTGCGAGCAGCATACTTAGCCTGACCTATATGCAAGAACGTCTGGGAAACTTCATCGCGCATCAGGAGAAAGAACTTACAAAGGTGAATGCTGAATCCAGACCTCAAACAAAAGAAGATTTTAATGTAGAAATGGCATCTATGGAAAGCCGAACAGATGACAAGATGCTGCAAACAGAGACATCATGCAGTGCTGAGGAAGAAGTGGCCCATGAAGGAACAGAGTCTGATTATTCAGAGGACTTTGACGAACATGATAGCTATGCCTCCTCAGAGGATGTTTCGAGGGAAGACGTGTCCTCCAGCCTTGCCAATGTGGCTGAAGAGGCTTTTGAGGAATCTAGTGGTAAGAGTGTGATGCGATCATATTAATATTTTCCATTGTTTTATTATTATTTCGAGTTATATCTCCAAGGCAACAGGCGTAGGCTGATGGTGATCTAAGAATGATTTCATATTTTTCCTGGCTTTTCCAACACCTTTGAGGATTCTCTACATGTATTTTTCTTCACTTTTGTCAGTTGTGTCTGAAGATGAAGACATCTCTGACTATCCAGATGACTTTGAAGAAGCTGATGATGATGATGATGACCTGGCTGAGGTGGTCAGCTATGCCAGAGATGCCATGAACTGTGTTTCAGAGAATGATGTGGCACTGGAGCTCAAAGATGCAGGCGGTTTCTCTGTCACGATGAAAGTGTTAAAAGAGAAATACATGGGTAAACATGCACATTTTTACATTTTAAGCAGATTCTTTTTTCTTCATTCACTTGAGTCTTAATTGTATTTTACTTCAATGATAAATTTATACATTAAACATTTTAACAGTCAAATTAGATTTTTACATAATTACATCAAGGTTGCAGTGGTACATGTAATGATTACTGTTATCATTGTTTCAGAGCATTTAAAATAATTCAAATCATTGAAAAATGTCACAGACTTTGTCTTGCGTCATATAAATCTAGTACATCTGCAGATATCAGAATAATTCTGGGTACTGTTTGCCAACACATCTGGTTCTCAGGGTGTCTCATGCATACTCAAGTAAATGCTTTTCTGCTTTCTGGATTTATAGAAGATGTTGGCGCCACGGTCTATGAGGAAATCAGCGGGCACTTTCTAAATGGCCTCACGCCAGAAGACCTGCAGCCACAATTCCAGCACATGATCGGGACAGACCATCTGGAGACCTGCTACCTCATTTTCAACCTTGACCAAGAGACCACATGCTGAATCATGTCTGTTCAATTTCGAGAAAGTCGTTTGCATTTTCTAATGATGAGTCATTCTCTAATGGTAAACCTCAGCAAATGCTGGTATTAGAGTATATTAAACACAGCGTTTTGTAATATATGTAATCATACATGAATTATAATTAATATCATGAAATAGTGAGGTCTTGTAAATATTTGACATCAAGAAAATGGGACGTTTGCACTAAGAATTCAGTACTCCTTTGAAAGTGTTATCTTGTATAACCAGTAGGTGGCAATCTATAGTAAGGAATTGTGTAGTCTTGCTTTAACATACCAATCCAGAAAATGAGCATATCATATTCTTCTATCTCGACACTATTAGTCACATCACAGGGACTGAAGTATAAAACTGCTGCATTTTAAATTCACTCTATAGTGAAAACAGAAATTCATTATATCAGTGGCGCCCAGTAGACTACTTTTTCAAGTGATTTAACCCATTTTTCGGCCAGAAATTAAATGTTAAGAGAAATGATCTCTTAACATATCCGTTAAACAAAGCTTGTAAATGTAAAAAGTAGTGGAGAATATCATGTGAACATTTCCTGCTGTGATTTCACTGCACTATTGCAATGTAAAACAGAAGACATTTGCTGAACATGTAAATTTATGGGCCACAGCTGCAGCTGTTTTCCACTTAAGGCGTTTTCCCTTAAACTTGCCCAGATTATTCCTATAGGGAATTAGTCAGTGTGATCGAGAAACTGCCATGTGTAACTGTATGACTGACCCTGTATTGTATTTCATTTAAGAATGCTCACAATCTGCCTCTAGAGGAAAGTGTGTTATCAAGCCAGCGTTAGCATGGGAAAGCTGCATCAATTTTTTTGCTAGTATAAGATGACATAGATGCCCTCACATAATGAGGTTTTGGCTGTAGATGGTCTTCGCATTTTGTTTTAATATCTCTATAAATGAAAAAAAAAAAAAAATTGTATTGATCACTTTGAGACAAACTCTCTCAAAATTGCATCAGTCCCAGGGTCTGGTTCTATATTGTATCATGGTGTATTTAAATAAGCTTCCACAAGTATGAGAAAGGCCCTTTGGTAAAGACATACGAATCCTTGTTCATCAAAAATCAAGGCCATGTTGATGTCAAATCAAGTGTGTGTTTTTATAGATCTCTAGCCACCAACATACAAACTTAAAAAACTTAGCTTAACTGCTGTAAAGAAAAACAACTCAGAACATTAAAAATGTAAAGTCATTCCCACAAAATACATTTATTTTTCATGTTATGTCCTGGAAAGAGTAAAACACGGATTGAGGAGTCATTCAGGATAGAGCTTTAAAAATTTTCCATAAGCCTGATGGATTGCAGTGTGTTTCTTTATTTATCCGTCTATGCATTTGTATGAGTGGATGAGAGACCAGAATAGATGCCGACAGGCCTGAGACCGCTTTGAGTAGCAGTCACCTCTGTGCCTTGTCACTTTAAAACCGTCAATATTTCATCCATAGTAAAACTAGTGACTGGAAGAGCTTGTGACTTGTGTCTTCAGGGCTTTGTACTAAGTTTGATGCATTATTGATTGATTGCTGCATGAGTGCTCCACCCTTCAGCTCAAATGTGCTTTCTTCTTGCTTTTTTGTTTGCATATTATTCAAAAATGAGGCTAGGGTCCTAATTAAGAGTCTTTCTTTGTTTTTGCGTTGGAGTTTGTGACATGCATCAATAGAAGGAAAATAAAAAAATAGTTTCTGAAAAATGACAAGTTGATCTTTTCTTTATTCACTCGTTGTGTTGTTGTTTTCCTTGGTGTGTCATAATTATATGTTTTACTTGATGAATTTAACAACCTGGTTGAATTCAAATGTAGTGTTGATAGTCAAATGAGATTTGTACATGTTGCTGTCAAGGTTGCAGTGGTCTAAATTAATATTTGGAGAGCATGTAAAGACTACAGTTTTTATTGTTTTAAAGCGTTCAAAAGAATTATTAGAATAAAAATGTAATAGGAATAAATGCTTTTTTCCTACATTTTATTAATATTATGTCACATAAAATTATATAGATAGAATATTTTAGAAATAAAATATTTTAACTTTTTTAAATGATATAATATCAGTATCAAGATATACACACAATTTTAAAAAAGAAGTATTCTACATATATATTTTAGAAATAAAATCCTTTAACTTTTTTTATATTATATCTTGATACTGAACATTTTTGTGAATATATATATACAAGAAAACATCAAGAAGTTTTCAAATGCAATGAGCTTTGTCTATTATTGCTCTTCTGCAAAATGTCATTTTTTCTTATAGGCCATATGTTTTTTTGTTTTTTTTTTGTCTGGTCAACAGCCACTTTGCGAAACATATTCAGGAAAATCATCTTTAACAGTCATGATATTCCAAAGAGAAAGGAAGCTCCAGAGAGAATGGGAGGAAACTCAAACATGCAAACCTGTTTCCCCTGTCCTTTAATAGACAGCACATGTCTGGCCTACATCGGTGTGAGATTTCTCTGCTAGATAGCATACTGCTCCTCACACATGTGTTCCATTGAAAGCTGGATGTTTAAATTCCTAATTTTCTTATCAGAAAATATTTTAATGGAAAATATTAGTTCCAGCAGTACTATAAATCTAACCCACTTGGCTAGATTCGTTCAAGACCATAGGAAGGAAGTAAAGAAAAAACATGCATGAAAGTGAAGCTCACAGCATAAAAGTTTTGTTCCTCTTCCAAGCAGCAGAATACTACAAACAATAATAACCTCCAGGCTGACTGTTTTTTTGTCAGAGCTCTAAAATATTGATGTGCCATTGTTTCCGGTGAAACAGGCTCACTGGAGACCAGTGAGTATTAGAGAAGTGAGGTGGAAGACGGTGACAGTAGCCTGCACTCTGACCTGCTCCAGATGCGTCTCCAGGGACGGCACTGATCACAAACCCCATCTCCCTGTGAAAAGCAGCCCTATTCTAACCCAAGACCAGAGGGACTAAAAGCAGCACAGAAAATTACATCTAACTCATCAACTCCGCCTGTGTATGAAAGCAAATTGCTTTATCCAGCGGAAGCGTAAAAGCCACATGTACAGGAACGGTTGATGGCACTTTACCTGATCTCACCATCTTGAGCTGACGCTAGGTTAAAAATAACTACGACAACAGCTGTCTGAATGGCTTATGTCAGGATTGTACAACATGAATCTAACCATGAAACTGCACAGCACAGATTTATACTACAGTTCAGCTGTTAAATATATAGGCTTATAGGTGTTACTACTTTGAATAACCATATGCTCCAATGAAATGTTGCTCAGATTTTTAGATAATATCAGCTGATTGCTATACAAGCCTGTTTAGGCCGTAGAATACAAGAAATGAAAAACTCATTTATTTAATAACTTATTTTGTGATTTTACATGTTGCAATATGACCACAATAATATCCACAATGTGATTTTAAATATCAAACATGTGACTTTGTATCTTATAATTGCGACTTCACTCACAAAAGAAATTCATATCTATCTTACACTGTGACCTTAAATTTTGCAGTGGCAGTGTTTATTCTCATAATTGTGATTTTATAACTCACAACGTGACTTTACATGTCGCAATATGACTTTATATCTCCATAACGTGACTGTAAATCTTACAGATGTGTAAGTTTCTCATAACTGAGATTTTATACCTCATAATGTGACTTTATATCTCTCAATTATGATTTTATCTTAAATCTTGCAGTTGCAATGTTTTTTCTCATAATTGCAAAACTCACATTGTGACAATGTAATGCAGTATGACTTTATATCACCACAGTGTGACCTGACATCTCACAGCTGCGACAGTTTCTCATAACCGCGATTTTATAACTCACAATGTAATTTTATATCTCTCAATTGTGATTTTATCTCACAACTTGACTTTAAATTTTAATTCAAAGTCTCAAAGTTTCTTTCTCATAATTGAGTTTTTATAACTCATAATGTGACTTTAAATGTCACAATATGATTTTGTATCTCCACAATTTAACTTTAAATCTTGTAATTGTGACATTGTTTCTTATAACTGAGTTTTTATAACTCATAATGTGACTACATGTTGCAATATGACTTAATATCTCCCAATTGTGACGTTATATCTCAGTAATGTCTTTTTAAATTTCAGAAATGCGACATTAGAACTCACAAAATAACTTTATAACTTAAACATTTGCTCGCAATGACATTAGGCCTAAATATTGTGACTTTAAATTTCACAACTGCGACTGTTTCTCAAAATTGTGATTTTATAACTAATTTATCTTGTTTTACACTTTACCTTATAGTAGGTTAACCTCTGTTCTTTGTTTTTCTCTGAAACACAAACAGGCTTTCATAGAAAACACCACATAATGTGACTCCTTAACACACACTGTTTCACATTAACAGAGAGACTGTAAAGTGGGAAGTTTACTAAGTACTGTAAAGAGTGACAAGAGAACAGCGCTCACGTTTCCCCTCAGCCTGCATGACACGTTAATCACATATGATGAGACCAGGTCGAAAGCAATTACATGTTAGAAAGCGGTGTCATGGCACATAATTTCACTTTATTACCTGACATGAAGGAGACCTTGAGGTGTGAGTCTCGGTTCGATCTCCTCCCAGTCTTAGGGCTGCGGTGGGGCACTTTAATAAGAGCTATTGTAGATGTCCTTGTAAATGATCAGTGTCAACAGAGTGCACTTTATGGAGTTTGTAGTGTGCTCCTGAGCGGATTATCCAATGAGGAGAGGTGAATGGGGTCTTTACGCCCTTCAGACGTAAGCTGAAACTGGCAGAATGTAATTTCCAACTTTATAAAATTGATTTCAGAGTGCAAAGCTCTGACAGTGACACCCTTGCCACATGAGGGATTCTGTGGATATTATCACTGAAATTTGGTATTTTAAGTCATGCATGGACAGACGTTCTCTGGTCTCAAGGATAGTATTTTGTCCTTCACTGACAGTTATCTCACGGAGAAAGTCTTTAAAG